CCGTGTGACAGGCTGAATAAAAGTTCTAAACGGGAACTATGCGGCTCCAGATGTCTTACTGAGGGACGACTGCGTGTGCAAGATGTCGGTAGCTTGAGGAATGAATCCCCTCTACTATATACTATCTTTAATTACATCACATACATCACATGCAAATTTATAATACATGTCTCATTGTCTGACATGTATTAGAAATTTGTTGCCCCTAGATGTTCATTTTCATACTCATGCTTGTAAAGCCTGAAATTTATTTAAGCTTAATTTTTTTTCTAAACATAGGACATCAGTACCAGAAAGAACAGATTCTACAAAACGAGGTGAGTGCAAGACCATTATTTTGGTAGCTTCTTGACACTTGTCTTCTTACTTGGATTTCTTTTTGATCCACACATTTAATCACATACATCTATACATCTTCACAATTAGATGCAGCACCAAAGCCACTGTCCAGAAAACCAAGTGTTCCTCCAGCCAGTAAACCTAAACCTGCAGCAGGCAAACGGTAGGTGTCATATCAGAGTAACTGTCTAGTATACCTCTAATCACTTGTTAGTGTAGCAGGTGTATCTGTATCTGTATAACACCCTGTATAACACCCTTTGGCATAAAACACCATGTTTGTAGCCACTTTAGGGGAGAAGGAAGAATCTGTGATGTTTATTTCAGGTTTACTTCACCCCAAGGGAATGAAGTGTTGTTTCTGGTTATTTGTGTGTGTGTCTATCCATCTGTGTATGACTATGTGTATGTTTCTGCAATTTGCAATGCAATATACATATACACTGCATTGTTGCCATACATACATACATCCATGATCAGTGCTACCACTTTTGTCTGTGGGACCAGAAGGCTAGGATTGCTAAGCAGTATGGGTAGGGGTTGAAGTCTGCCATTCCAGGTTGTCTTGTTTTAACCTTTATTATCTGTCCTTTCAGGAAACTAGAAATCACCATAGTGTCAGCCCAGCCCATGACGTCCAGCCAAATGACGGCCTTCAACACGGGAGGATCCGTACCTCCTTCCTCTACCAGCACAAATAAACCCACACAGGAACAGGCCAACACTGCGCCCAAGAAGAAATCCGCACCCCCTCCCAAACCCCCTCCCCCCTCGCGCCCTCCCCCACCTTCTGTAAAGTCTTCCACTGGAGGCAAGCCAGGTGAGTTGTCAGATTTGTTGCAAGATTATGTCTTTCCATTTTCTGTTGTTTTCGTACGCAAGATTGTGTCTTTCTGTTTCATTTACTTTGGAAGAAATAACAGGTGACATTTTTCCTATGATCCATTCTGCTCTGCTGAATAACAAATCATTGATTTGATCGATATTTCTACAGGCTTGTTTGAATGTAAACATTATGAATGTATCATGTACTTTGACAGCATACCTTTTCCAAGATTGCAGCTTAGTGAAAATTGTAAATACAGCTATAATTCATTCATCGATCCCATATAGTATACAGGTATACATGGGGAAGATTTTGGTTGTGCATATCAATGATTTGTGTCAGTTTTTCGTTATGCTATATAGTAAATGTGTATAAGTAATGTTGCAATATGCACATCTTTTGTCAGCAGTTTTTGCTGATCAGTTTTTCCAGCAGCCTTGTCGTGATATTGTTGTGTCAAGTTGCTATTGTTGTTGTTCTTTATTTGTTGTTGTTGGCCATCCTCTTTGGGAAATATAGATGAAGGTTAGTACAGTGAGGACCATTTCACCAAAAGCATGGCGTTCATTTGGACCTGAAACCCTCCATTTTTATACTTTGATGGTTAACTGTAAGGCCACACAATTATTTCCTTGATTCTTGGTTGCAGGTAAATATATATAATATTGAAGTCAGAAAGCAAACTAAAAACAGAAATAGGCATCCTGTGATAGAATCAAATGCTAGCCTACCACATGAACCAAACTTCAACATACGAGTCTAGGCTGGCTAATTTTTAAATTTCAAGGAATTGATTTTATACATGTACAACAAAAAATGTAACTTAAATGGAAAACACGTTCAAATGTTCCAATGTGAGAATTTTTTATCAATTCATATCCTATAAGTGGTACAATGTATATGAAATCAGAAAAAAGCACCTGATCCAAGAACCAAGTAATTGAATTGATATGGCTTTAGTCTGGAACCCGTGGTTTGAGAGGAATGTCAATGATTGCTTGCTTGCTCTCTGGCAGTCAACTTGCCTGTACAATGTTGGTTCTGTTGTTTGTTGTTATTTACTGCTCATTGGAGCTGGTTTGCTTACAGACTCAGTGGGTCAACAGCATGATGTTGTTTGCTTGACTGAAACTGTGGCCTGTCCCATGTCTTGTATACTTTCTGTAGTTTTGTGCATCAAGTGTTTGTTCCAAAAAGTCAGATTTTGTCCTGTATGTGTCTTTGAAAGGTGTGTTAAGCATGGTATAGCTTAAGGATGCAAAATGAAGTTGCTTGTTCTTACAGAGATTGTAAATTGATTCTGCATATCATGATGGTGATGTTTAGTTTTTGTCTTTGTTGTCTGTTGCTGTGTTTCTTATTCAATTGTTACCCTTCCCTCTCTAGGTCCAACCATTTTGAGACCGAAGCCTGTGACCAACAAAGGCAAACCTGCGCGCCCTCCTCCTGCCAGTAAAAAGGTTCCCAAAGACGTAAGTCATATGATCATAGCCTGATGACCAATCAGGAGCCCACATTGGGAATTGATTATGAGGTAACCGTTGTAATTTCAATGGGCAGACAACTATTCTAATAACTGACCACTTTTTAGCACAAGTGGTCATACTTATCTGTGTGTTGAAACTAGCTTCAATTTCTAACTAGATTTTGCTGACAAAGAATATCTGCAACATGGCTATTTGATTTGATTGAGTTAGAATTGACTATATGTTGATACCTTTAATGTCTTGCTGTCTAGAAGCCGCCCAGTTATAACGAAGTCCTGAAGGAGATCCACCGGGAGTCCCCCCAGACAGCTCTGCTCTTGGCTGAACTGGGTCCCAACTTCAGCATGACGCCAGCTCCCCAGCCCCAACCCCCGCGCCCTGCCACCTGGTCAACCTTCCCCCCAGAGGAACACACTCAGACCGGCTGGGCAAGCTTCGACGACGACACGGTTCCCAAAAGTTCGGAGCCTCCCTCCGTGCCGGCCCCACCTCTACCGTCTACCAGGCCCAGAAAAGCGTACAAACACCCGGGAAAGACGTCGGCGGATTCTTCGCGAAGCGGCTCGCCCGCCAACGAGTTGGAGAGTATCGAGAACGTGAAACCGCCCGTCCCGACGCAAAGGCCTCTGTCTCTGGATAGTACGTCTTCAGAGTCGAGTTCGGGAAAGGTCCCGCCGCCCGTTCCCTCCACCAGGCCCCAGAAGAGAGCCAGCATAAGTAGTGTCAGTAGTGCAGGGTCGGAGGTGTTAAGCTATGGGCTGCCTGATGTTATACCAAAGGGAGGGACTGAAGAGGACACTTCGGGAAGTGGAACAGAACAGAAGAAGGCTGTTCCCGGCACAAAGAAAAAGGCACCACCAAGGGTTAGTCTCAAGAATATACGATACTGATATACTATGTTGTGCTCTTTTCTTGCCTTTGAAGCTACATGTATAGGTGATGCAATGTATGCTGTATTGACTTGTACAGAGCAATTGAAAAGTGGGTGTGTGCGTGTCTGTGCATGTACATGTGCGCGTGTGTGTAAATGTGTGTGATGAATAATAATTGTTCACGTTCATAATCATATACACATATACCTTTTTCATCTGAGGCTCTCTGCATGCCACTTTACATGACTGTCCTAAAATGTTTACGGAGAATGACATTCAATTTCTAGACATACTCAGTAAACTATTCTGTCTTGCTTAGAAAAGTCGGCCTTTTGCATCTGTTCAAGTTTGAAACCAGACTTCTTGCATATTCCAGTGTGTGTAACAACCTGTATCCTCCATGCATTCAGACATATGACTGATGTACTGTACTGTGCATTGCTTGTAAAGTGTGATCTTTACCATTACATGTCTTTCCAGTTTGTGTAACAACCTTTATCTACCATGCATTTAGACTGATGCACTGTATATTGCTTGTAAAGTGTGATCTCTTTACCATTCCACCCTCCCCATCTTCACTAACAGCCCACCTCTGGGCCTACTCTGAAGAGAATGGGCTCTAACGCATCCCAAACTTCTAAGCCAAGCATGATGCGCACTTCTTCTGTGGTGAGTTCTGGGATCTACAATGTATGGGTACTAGTATTAAGGCCTCCTTGCTTTGTGTAATGTATACTGGAAATTCAGTAAGCATTGATTACATTCACAGTCCTGTATTGTTTTGTATTATATAGGTACTCTATACTAAATGTGTCCTTGTTTTAGGTCAAATTTACATATAACGTCTGTATCACTATCCATCTATTGGTTTGGCTGTTCAACACACACAGCCAGGCCAGCCCAAGTAGCCAGTGGCTGTTACAAGCTTGCCCTGCTGACAAGACATGACAGAACATTACGGCAACATCATCCGCTATATGCTCTGTATATTATATACTTGCAATCTCCAGATATTATATCATTCAAGACACAACATTTTAACACAACATATCATGCTATGTAACTTTTTAGAAATACATGTAGTTACTATGGGTCTTTTGATTGTAGGAGAGTTCCAGTAGTGTTTCATCTGGTAAAGCAGACAGTCAGGGTGGATCGGAGTGGAAGGCACCACCTCTTCCCAAACGGCCTGGTCCTGGACACCCGCTCTTCCACTATCTGGTAAGGTTCATGATACACATGATTGTATTGTGACAGCAACTTTTCCTGTCGAGGGTTGTATTGCCAAAAACAGTTACTCAAGCAACTGGATATGATTTTGGAAACGGTCAGATGTTTCAGGTAGCATCCGCTACTTTCGTCAGTGACACTGGAGAATTGTCAGAATAGCAGGTTTATAAGTATGGACTTTTGACTGATATGCAAATAAGTGAAGACAAGTCATTGCATTGGTCACTTTCTTGCAGGTTTGAGGGCAAAGACTTCTTTCAACGGACCCATTTTTTTTTTAAATAATGCATGTACTTTATTACTCGACAATCGTACAAGGTATAATGTGTGGCAACAGGCCAACAGCTATGAAACAACAATACTAAAAGTTATTATATAAATGTTTACCACAACTATGAAACAACGATACTACAAGATTAATCCAAGACTATTCCTTACAGCTGTCTTGGGGAGAGGAAAATGCTTTTGGCCCAGGAGGAGACACTGGAAAAGTAGATAACTATGTACATGTACATGCATGCTAAAAATCTATTCTTACAGAAGATGTGGTGGCTGGTGTAGGTGTCTGTCTTTCCAACACTTTTTGAAGCAATTTTTGTTCACTACTGGTGTTGTAGCCTGGTTACTAGACCTATTATAGCTCCCCAGTCCTACATCCTACGCTATTTGCAGAGAGGATGTAGGACTCGGGAGCTATAATAGGTCTGGTAACCAGGCTACTGGTGTTGGTCTGTGGGTGGATGTTATACTTTACATTATGTCCTCTCCAGACTTAAGTCAGATACAAGAAAAATATTCAATGCTTTTGGTAATACCTTGCTTAAGCTTATCCCAGGCGGATGTTGGTGTGAAAAATTGAAATAGATGGTATTTCGCCAGTGGTGATGTGGGACTATTAGAGAAGGAGGTTATAAAATTAGGTGTAGGAATAGTTTTGACCTTAAACTTCCCCATGTTTTCCTCAGGCATCTGACGCACATGGGATCGCTCAGTTTGACTATGAAGCCGCTCAAGAAGATGAACTTTCCTTCAAAGTAAGTTTGGTTTTCATGATATGCTTCAGACTTGATGTCAGATAGATTTTCTAAACATTTTTCTTATTGGTGTGTAGAGTGCAGTCAAGGATTGAATTGATAGTACATTGCTAATGAAGGCTGAATCAGTACCATGGAAAGCTCCAATGACGGCTGTATCAATACCATGGAAAGTCCCAATGAAGGCTGTATCAGTACCAAGGAAAGTCCCAATGAAGCTGTATCAGTACAATGGAAAGCCTCAATGGAGGCTGAATCAGTACCATGGAAAGTCCCAATGAAGGCTGTATCAGTACCATGGAAATTGCCAATGAAGGCTGAATCAGTACCATGGAAAGTCCCAATGAAGGCTGTAACAGTACCATGGAAAGTCCCAATGAAGGCTGTATCAGTACCATGGAAAGTCCCAATGAAGGCTGTATCAGTACCATGAAAAGTCCCAATGAAGGCTGTATCAGTACCATGTAAAGTCCCAATGAAGGCAGTATCAGTACCATGGAAAGTCCCAATGAAGGCAGTATCAGTACCATGGAAAGTCCCAATGAAGGCTGTATCAGTACCATGGAAAGTCCCAATGAAGGCTGTATCAGTACCATGGAAAGTCCCAATGAAGGCTGTACCAGTACCATGCATGGAAAGTCCCAATGAAGGCTGTACCAGTACCATGGAAAGTCCAAATGAAGGCGGTATCAGTACCATGAAAAGTGCCAACGAAGGCTGTATCAGTACCATGGAAAGCACCAATGAAGGCTGTATCAGTACCATGGAAAGCCCCAATGAAGACTGCATCAGTACCATGGAAAGTCCCAATGAATGAATGCTATCAGTAACATGGAAAGTCCCAATGAAGTTTGACATACACATTTATGTTATTCGTTTTCATCCAAACATTATGCTGTACATGTATTTTGTAGGCTGGGGATGCCATCCTCCTGATAGAGAGAGTGAATGCTGATTGGTTGTTAGGGAGGGTAGGGAGCAACAAGGGCCTCTGTCCTCAAAGCTTCATCAAGGTCATCATACCACTACCTGGAGATTGCCAGGTAATTATACTACTTTACTGTGTTAATGCTTTTTGAAATGTTAAATTACTTGAACTACAGTGTACCAGTACACAGTTAGCATGATGCAAAATGCAACCTACTTGCAACCTACAATTTGCAACCAAGGGGTAAAATTGAGGATTACAAAATGTAGATACAGCTATCCATTGATGAAACTTTGTTGGACCGTAAATCTAATGCATTCTCCACAGGACGGCACGCAAATGGCTCCTGGCAGTGGGCCCAGGGCTGTTGCTCTCTACGATTTCGAACCAGGTCAGTGATTGTTCCTTCTTTATTTCCCACAGTGTTACTGTCTTCATGTTACAGATTATGATATTGAGGCACTTTTGAAATATTGTTTTATCTAGTGTAACTCATCTCATGTCATTCATGTAGCACTAGCCCAGTTCTACCAAATATCAAATTTTCCTGTCACTGAGAAGTTGACAACAGTAAGTAACCAAACATCATCATCAATTGCAGGTCAGTCTGATGACCTGGGCTTCAAGAAGGGAGATACCATTTTCCTGTTAGGGAAGGTGGGGGCAGACTGGTACCGAGGGAAGTGTGGGAAGAAGGAGGGAATGTTCCCAGCTACTTACGTCAATGTAGTGGAGGACCTGCCCTGGAAACAACCGGCTCAAGAAAAGGCTGACACAATCGGGTAAAGAACCTGGCTTTTTTTGGAAGTAGGGTTTGATGCTGCATTTTTACCTCTATCTGTGTATGGAGGTTTTGTTTCTGATCAGTCTGATCTTTGAATACAGTAGAGTTACAGAAAGTAAGAGGGGAAATGATACAAAGAATTTATGTTTTATTTATTTATTGAATCTTCAGATGGCTGGGTAGCCAATTCAATTTTGCCAATTTTTTTTTCAATGGGTTACAGAATGCATCAAATACATGTATAACAAAAGAAGTAGAATTGTGACAAAGTATACATACCCTGTAAGCAAAAATACATATATTGGATGAATGGAATTGCAGTTCTGCTTTTTTCTACCAGGGGGCCTCGCTGCAAGGCAAGATTCGACTTTGAAGGGGAGAGCGAGGGCGACTTGTCCTTTGAAGAGGGTGATGTCATCAGTCTTCTGGAGAGGGTCGGAGATGAATGGATGAAGGGAGAGCTGAAGGGGAAGGCTGGGATCTTCCCTCTGTCTTTTGTAGAGGTGGTCGAGAATCTGCCTATCGACACAGTCACTGCTTCTAGTGATGGTAAGTTACACTCAGTCCGATAACGTTAGTCACTAGCTATATATTTTTACCTTCGCAGAAGGAAAACATATTGTTTTTGCTCTGTTTCTTCTTCTTCCTCTTCTTCTCGAAACAAAGAAGGTCAATGACCTGAACTAGACGTCTGTCATCATGGTAACTGGTGTTGGGTTACATCATGTTGCAGTTTTGAAGCTGGACGAATTTAGACTCCTGTCACCATATATTATATATATATATGAATGTATCTGAGTAAGAATTAACAGAGCAGACTATATGCGAAGGTAAACATTTTGGATTTGCTTTGCAAATGTTACCTTTCTAGTTGAATCACTATATCTTGTTACACTGTAGTACAACCATGTAGATAGCTAGTTTCAGTTCAATTGTATGTAGCTTACTTGTTCTGTTGTCTTCATGTAGAATTCTTTTCTTTACAGGAGCTGTAGTGAATGTACTGTATGATTTTGAGGGAGAAAATAATGATGAACTTTCTGTAAAGGTATCGTCATGTTTCCATATTTCTCTTTACATTGTTTTCTATTTTGCTGTGACACATTTCTGACCTTAGAACAAGTAGTATAAGTTGATTCATCCACTAGTATTGTCTTGTAGAAGTTTTACGTAGGTAAATTTTGTTCTTCCCACATATCTTTATATCCACATACGACCTTACAAGTCACTGTACTTTAAATTTGTTGTGTCAATTAAGTTCTTTAACTAAATTTTTTGTAGGCTGGGAACAAGTTGAAAGTTCTCAGTATCGTCAGTGCTGATTGGCTGCTTGGAGAAGTGGATGGGAGGCAGGGCAGGTTCCCAGCATCCTTTGTGGACCAGATTCCCTCCAATGTCCCAGCAGCACCAACCGAACCATCAGGGAATGAGGTAACCTACATTCTCTTTTCTTCTGAAACTTGCATGACTGTTTGTGTCTAAAATTTTTATAATGAAAATGTGTTGGGTCGTGTGGCGCAAGAGCAGAGTTCTCCACTCAGAACAAAGAGGTCCTGGGTTCGAGTCCTGACATGCCACCAATCTTGTGCTCTTGGGAAAGGCACTTAACACGACTTTCCCCACTTAACTCAGGTGAAAATGAGTATTGTCTGTCCTGTATTTGTTTCTATGTTTGGGATACAACACCAGAGACAGCTGCCTTTGTTCCACGTGTATTGTATTGTAACAGTCACAATTGCAATAAATCAAATCAGAATATTGTCTGCCCTGCATTTGTCTATGTGTGGGATACAACACCAGCAACAGCTGCCTTTGGCCCACAAGTATTGGACATGCAATTTCAATAAATCAATTCAAAATATGACCGCTTATTTTACTTTGGTACAGACACAAGGTCCCTCCCAGTACATCGCAAAGTATGACTTTGTCGGCCAGAGTGAAGGGGAGCTGTCCTTCAAGGCCGGGGACAGGATGTCACTCATCAGTGAGCTCGATGCTGATTGGCTGACAGTGATGATTGACAGGAACGAGGGCGTGGTTCCCAGATCCTATGTGGAGCCTGCAGGAGGTGGAGGAGATGGTGAGACTTGTCCTTGTGTTGCCATGCAGTGTTCAAAATACCAATCTGCATTCTTCATTTTGCAGAGATTTACAATATTGCAGAAGAAAAATCCTACAATCTGCAATTTTGCATTGTTGAGTTGAGAAGGTTGTAGTATGGAGGCTTGTGTATTTGCAGAAAGTGTTTCCAAATTGCAGAACAAAATTTTGACTCATCTGCAAAACATTGGAAAAGGTATTTCTACCACTGCCATGACTATGGTCCTTATGTAGAGTTGGGTTAGATTTTCACTTTTAGATCACACCAATTTGATTTTAGCTTGGAAGGTAATTTTAAATTTTGAACATATTTCAGATGGTTCCAGGCCCAGCGCTGTAGTGCTGTATGACTTTGAGGCAGAGCAAGAGGATGAACTTTCATTGAAGGTCAACTCATCTTGTTCTGAACATTGGTTACCTAACTTCTTTCCTTCCTTGTACTTACGTCTCTGCATTTTTGTGACCTTGTAGAAATCCTTATATTCCCAAAAACATTGTCTGTATTGAACCTTGCTTCATACTGTGAAAATCTGGAAATAGTTGCAGCAGTTTCAAGTTTGCAATTTTCATGGTCTCCTTAACGCTGCAAAGTCATTCATGTCCATTGTGATAGTCTTGATTTTTACCACGCCAAGATATTTAGGTGCTGCAAATGTAAATGAATGTACTGTCTCTAACAATATGTTGTATTTTTATTTGTACCTGTAACAGGAAGGAGAGGAAATTTTTCTGAAGGAAGTGTTTGATGATGATTGGCTGGTAGGAGAGGTCAAAGGTCGCATGGGCCGGTTCCCAGTCGCCTTTGTCCAGATCATCACACCTTTACCCTGATTGGCGGCTGTCAATCAACTACAGTAAGGCCTCACTGATTTAATTTTATGGATGACATCCTCTCAAGACCCCCAAACTAGTGCGCGCAGGCGAATAAAAAAAATCCAACCAGAAAAAAAATGCTGCTAAACCACAGGAATGCAAAGCTCGTACAATGTATTGTGAATTTGTGGTAGTTCATAGCAACTTTTACAACAAGCTGGCACATCCTGGCTTTTAGCTGCATTTATGAGTTGGCACTGCACTGAATTCTTGAGTTCCGTGGATCCTCGGTAGCCTGGGTGCACCCTCCGTAGTTTAATACTTGGGTTCTCCGTACTGTTGCAATAATGCTACATGTAAGTATGGAGTACGCAGGATGGCACCCAGGCCAGAGGCATCAAGGTGATTTTTTTTGTCTAACAGGCGAACATCAATACACGCACGGATGTCATCCATGAAATTACGTCAGTGTGGCCTTACACTTGTCCAGGAACCAGAAGAAAATGGTTACAGTAGATAGGTGGCCACTATAGATAGGTTGGGTCAATGGGGAAAATAATCTGAGGGAACACCAAAAATTGGTCCTTTATAAGCAGATGTGGTCACTATTACAGGTTTGCCTGTACATGAAGAATGATACTTGTCTATACCAATTGCAAGTGAGAACCAAAATTTGAACATATTTTTCCACTGCTCAAGAGCTACAATACAAACTTTGCTATCAATAGCTAAGTATATACATGTATATGGAGTCAGTCTTTCTTAAGAAGCATGCAGCAGCTTGTTACAGTGTGATCTTCCCTACAGATTGAATGAATAACTAACTGCAAGGGGTACACATTGGCATAGTTAAACTGATCTTAATGGTAAGATTCTTTCTCAGCCTGCTAGTATATATATATTCACTGCCACTGTACTATCTATGCAAAAACGTCAGTGAAGCAAGTGTTGATGAATTTTTTAATGTTACAGTTCAATATCAATTGTATGTAAACAAAACCATTGTGACAGTCGCAATATGTTGTCTCATCTACTCCAGTGACACATGCCAAACTACATAGGTGCCATCTATTGTAGCAAGCTAAGTGAATATCAATCAAGAACATTGTGCAATGTATTAGCTATGAATATTGTATAAGGAATATTACTGAGATGTTGCTTGGAGTAAAAGTGGAATGTGAAACTGCCTCTACACTTAAGGACTATTTGATAACTTCCACACAGTTATTTTGATGCATTTTGCAATACTGGCATCATACACATTGATATATAATGTGAATCATATAGTGTGAGTCAAAAGTAATGATAATGGTACATACTAATAGTGAATGCAGAGAAGTCATTTGCTTTGTCTAATCCAAACGGTATCTCATCTTTACATAAGTTCCTACCTACACATGCATGCTCTATTAATGACATGTACTATGAATCATTTTATCACATGCAAGTACTTTTCCTTCAGTACTGCTATGCATATTAACCCACCATTGTTTTCTTGATATGTTTGTGAAAAAGAGATTTTGGTGAAATTTACTGTATTTATATAGTATAAGCTAGGGTATATTTTGTTCTATGCAATCTCTCATATAGTTTATTACATGTGTATGTACTACAATGTAGCTGGAATGCATTGTTGAAGTTGTTCATAAGGGCTTCCCATGTACTGTGGTTTAGTGTTTCTTAAAATTTATTTTGTGCAAATATATTGAATTATTTATCTCCTGGATGGTGAATCCTAGACAATAATGTTGGTAATAGGATTGATGTGTTATGATCTTTTCTGTTTGTGTCTTTGTGTAATTTTCTTCTTATGACATTAAGCCATATAATTTTCTTTGTGGAGAAAAGCTGTAAAGATGTAGCTATTCAAGCATCTGGTTTAGAAAAATATCTACAAGGAAATAAAATCTGTTTTTCGTTATAGCAAAATATATTCAGGTTGGAAGTACAGTACCTAACTATAAGCCACAGTTTATGCTATAATAAACAGTAACACTGCTACAGGATGAATTTGAATAAATTTGCTATATTAGACTGGATATTTGTATCTCTTTCTGTATTTTTTGTAGGTTGTAATGGGAAACACTATTAGATGGTCATTTCAAGTCTCTAAGAAAGGGCTGAGAGGGCAGCCTTTAATATTTTCATCATTTTCCCTGCATCTGGTGCAAATTACAATAAATGTAAAGTGTGTACAACATTGTAAGGTTTACATCTATATCTGTTAGCACTTATTTTGCATCTACCTGCCCAAAGCTGGCTTTGCCACCTTTATCTTTTGTGTGGTTCATCTCTAAATCAAGTTCATCATCTACAGTAACCCCTTCAACAATATCATTAGATGAGCAGACCTCACAACCTCCAAATAACTCTTCCAACAACTGGAGGTTGGACTTGGAAGGTTGTACTGACAGCTCATCCTTGTGTTCTTTGGTTGGTGCACCATTTCCTTCAAACAGTGCTACAAGTTCACGTGTATGACTGCTACTAGTCTTCGCGTCAGACTGCTTCTGATCTAAATCTATTAGTATTAGCTGGACATCGTTAGATGGGTCTTCGTTAAGCTTAACGAGCTCTCCTACTGGACAGTTCGTCACGGGAACATCGTCCTGCTGGTCAAACATGGATGATGGGAAGGCAGCTGGAACTGTGGTGCTGAGCATTGTGGGATATGGTGCACCAGGAACGGGGTACAAGCTTCGTGGGGATCGGTAGTGTCTCCTGAAAATACAGAATCATGGTAGATCTAACACAATACCTCAACTAGAAGGAAACTTATGATATATTTGACAGAGACTGGATTGGAATTGCGTGAAAGAAAACAAAAAGTAAAGGTAAATGTACCTTTTTTCTGAAGGTAGCTACATGGTGCTGAAATGCCTTCCAATGAGTAATTTTCCTTTTACAAAACAAATTACTGCCTGAACACTTCTCTTAATTTTAATCACCCAATGTAAATGCTCATCAAAAATAGAGCATGTTGTCAAATTGAACATGTCCAATATCCATTGTCAGATTAATATACCTTAATTAGTAGATAAACAAGATAAAACATACAAAAATGGACAATGGGAACAACAAGAAGCAATATCGGCTCTTGAGGGTTCAATCTTATACCATAAGTATGATAAAGTTTAAAGTACAGTCAACTTGAAGATGAAGATGCTGTTACCTTGAACTTGGAGACATCCTCTTGATGGGTCGTCCTGATGGGGGTGAGAGAAGGGCCAGTGGTGACAGCTGTCCTGTACCAGGCACCATCTCTGTGGGTGGATGTACCCTCTCTCCTGGTGGCTCCTGAAGGTATGTGTTTCCTTTCTCTGGACTCTTGAAACTTAAAGATGCTAAGGTTGAATCAGAGGCTGATGGCATGATTTTGGCATTTGCAGTAGTTGGGGGTGAGAGAAGGGCCAGTGATAACAGCTGCCCTGCACCAGGCACCCTCTCTGTGGGTGGATGTACCCTCTCCTTTCGTGGCTCCCTAAGGTATGTGTTTCCTTTCTCGAGACTCTTGAAACTTAAAGATGCTAAGGTTGAATCAGAGGCTGGAGACACGACTTTGGCATTTGCAGAAGTTTTAGAGGATTGCTTTGACATGAAGGGCTCTCCGTTTTGTTCAATGTTCAATTCTGTTGAATCAGTCCCGTTGGTAGTAATGCGGTCATTGCTGTTTGATGATCCTTGTGATGTCATCACTGAGGCAAACGCAAGACTGTTAGCCTGTGAGTTACTTTTTTTCATCGCTGGTATGGCATCTCTGGAATCTTTTCTGTCCTCCTGTAGTGTGTATGCAGGGCCCTCATCCCCCACGGCTGGTGCAAGGTCTTCTGGGATATCCTCTAGCCAGGACAGGACTTCGTCAAAGTCGACCACGAGTCTGTTAGCACAGAAACCTGCACCTGAAGGGGAAGGGTGGTAGACTCTTGGTTTTTTGATTTGAATTATTCAAATTGTAACAATACAATACACGTGGAACAAAGGCAGCTGCTGCTGGTGTTGGTGTCCCATACATAGCACAAATACAAGACAGACAATACTCATTTTCACTTCAGTTAAGTGAGGCAAGTCATGTAAAGTGCCTTTACCAAGGGCACAAGATCGGCCGGTGGCATGTTGAGACTCAAACCTGGGACCTCTTGGTTTCCGAGTCAAGCACTTTGCCATTGCGCCAAACGACCCCACAACACACGACTCTTGGTGCTAGACATCTATGGCAAGATTACTTGACTAGTAATCTGTACTTTTTGCTTTTAAGTTTGTGTGATGTCTTACCAGGCTGTGGGTCCTTCAGCTGCAGGAAGAACTGGTTGGCGTACAGCACATGCTGACTGTGGAACGTGGAGCAGGACTGTCGCAGTGCCCACACCAGCTTCTTCTCCTCTGAGTTCTCTGTCTTTGGATAGTACCGACCCACGGGATCCTGCCTTAACAAAGTGTCTTCTGGAGAAAATGGGGAAAATTAACATCTCACCTGTAATTTTCAACTATTGTGTTGGAAAAGATATCGTCTGCAACAGGCAAAATTCTTATGCGGCGTTGACGAAAAACGTCCAAGGAAAACGGAGAAAAATCAGGGTTCCACACAGGTGCAGTACGTTCTGTTGACATGCTCTGTTCTTGTATCTTACTTTGACTCCTGTCCTGTATGGGTTCATCAGCAATGTTCACTCTCAGTGCTCTTCCTCTGACCTCCACTCCTCTCATGGACTCACAGGCCTGTACACAGCTCTCAGGGTCATAGAAACGTACAAACCTGCAATAACAGGACAACATCTCATGTAGGGCTGGATCATTCAAAACATGAGGGGGAACAAAGAAGGGGTCAAAGAAATGGTTCAGGAAGAAAGAAAGGGGGTAAAATTGATTTAACTCTCAACAAGTTAGTTAGAACTTAAGTGTACAAAGCTACTTTTGAGTGAACAGTAGAAATAAGAACTAGAAAAGGAATGCATTTCTAGATGCTAAAGATATACAAAATACCAGTTGACACTGTCATCTTTCTCTTTTACCTGGCAAACTCTTTAATTTGGTACCAAAATATCAAACAGTCAGAATGCATGCAAAACAAAGTCCATTTCCTAGGAAGTCGCACTAACAATGGAATGAATAGGGAACAATAAAAACAAGTTAAAAGAAAATCTGCAGGACATAAGATACAGCACTGCTCACGCATATGTGTGCTCCATATCCGGTCTCCTATTGGCCAGCCAGACATCATGAACCTCTCCACAAGCCGAGAACAGCCCTGCCAACTCCCTCTGTATATCAACAACACAGGTCTCAACACATCTTAATCATTACATTAACATTTAATCTTTTGCTAAATGTACAACATTTAAAGTACAAGGCACACATTCTATACTGTGTTCCATCCCTGTAACATGCAAAGGTCCAGTGGCAGTGCAGCTCACATCAGGACTGATTAATCTTTTCCCTTCTGCAGTCCTGCGTTGCATAGCAACTGAGTTGTTGTATGTGTTGAAGCTATCATCAAGTTACAATTCCTTTTCTATGTACTAGTAATACATAAAAGATCTAGGATGATTCACTTATTGTAACTAAGAAACAGCTTTGTCAATATAATTATACATCAAGAAGATAGTATAAATGTCCCACCTTGGTGACAGACAGTGGTAGGTTCCCCACATAAACAGAAGGCATGGTTTTCTTGGCAGCCAGGGATTGGCTGTTGAGCTCCAGTGTCTGTTTCCCAAATCTCCACTCCTGCACTAGTCTCCTCCCATCACCTGATGTATATACACAGGTATGTTTGTGCCAGGTCTGTCATACATTGTCACAAGGAAGTACTGGTAGTACAAGTTCTATTTGTATGACTTTGTGCCTTTTTTACTGCCATGTATTGAGGTCTTTTTAATCATGAAGGAATTCCTCAAATACAAATGTAGACTAAAACTAGAAAGGTAACATTTGCAAAGCAAATGCATCATGTTTGCCTTCACATGGTCCAACTTAACAAACTACTGCTTTGTTTATTCTTACTCAAACATATGGTGACCATATGTCCCCTCTTGAACTCAGTTCTGCATGGCACTTGCAACATGATGTAACCCAACATTGACCTTATTTGTTTGGAAGGGAAGAAGAAGAGGAAGAAACTGAGCAAAAACCAATATGTTTTCCTTCTGTAAACATAACTAACCTTATCCCTGCTGCCTAACCTCATAATGAATGCAAAGTGGATATTGAATAAATGACTACCTTAGCAGACTGAAGCATAAATACTTTACCATCTCCAGTGGCTGTGTCCAATTCTTCCAAGTCTCCTGCTGGCTGGTTCAGCTGATTCAACACCTCTGCAAACTTCTGTCTCCTCCTGCTGTCTACACCATCATACCTGGGACACACCTGGATCAAAGTATGCTTCAACACATCAATGACGTAAATCAAATCAAATTTTATTCAGTAAGGATCTCGCGGGCGAATACCCGAATTTCGTCCTTATTACAATAGTATATAGAACATTAAGACACTCTTCATCGTGCACATAAAACAACATAGGTGAACACATACATATTAAGACAATTGCATAGGCGAACATAGGCGACCTCAATCTGCACCTAAGGCCTAGGAAAAAATGTTGTGTTCCCAAAAAAGGCTAGGGTCGGAAGGGAAACAGGAAACACAACATTTTTTCCTAGGTCTGAGGGATATCAATTCTCAGTTCATTAAGGCCTAGAAAATAATGTTGTGTTTCCTGTTTCAGTCCTGAAAAAATTAGGGTCTTAGGGATTATCTTTTTTTTTAGACTTTGTTTGGCAATCTCTACTGATCCAACTTATACAGTACTGTTTCACAAAGTAAAACCTCATCATTCAAGTGTCAGATCATGGTGCTAGAAGAGGTCGATGTCCCTTGGAGGGATCCACAAAAATGGCTAGGTCGTTTTTTCTAGGGTCGGTTGGGAAACAACCTACATGTAGGCCTAACTCATAATGTTACTACTTTGTGATAATACATAAAAGCAACTTCATTGGGACCAAGATATTGTGAATTTTGTAAGCATTGAGTTGACATTTACCCTTTCTGCTGCAATAGCCCGTGCCTTTTCTGCAAACGCCTGCGATGACTCGGCATCTCTAATGTCGTACTCGCTGGTTCTCTCCAACTGAAGATCTGCTCCGCAGACGTTTAACAGACCCTGTAGCTGCTTGGACTGATCTATATCCACCTTGGCTTTAATTTCATATGGAGAAGATAAAAGTAAGAAAACATGACCATCAGAGTTGACAGCAACGAATTATTGGGTAAATTTCCCTTGAATCACCAAAATCGAAACACTCGAAACGTGCATTTGTCTTGAGTTGACATTCGATAAAAAGTTGAACGCAGCCAACTCAAATGGGGAGGGATGTCGGCAACTGTGGCGCTCACTTTAAAACGTCGGAACGTTAGCGTTAAAACATAATTTCGTATGGAAAATCTGGTAGACCTAAAATTTAAAGTTATAGGTCACGCCAAAAAAACACCTAGTAAAATTTGCTAGTTCCATGGGATCCTCGAACGACCTTCTAAAAATCTAGCCTAGCTGAAAGATCACGTCAACTCGGAGCCTGGACGACATGAACAAACAAATCCTGACTTACCCATGTTCTGGTTTATCTTCCGTGTCCAGGAAATAAAATATCAACGATTTTTAAGACGAAATTGTCCTTGCTATCTTCAGGGCGTCGTTCTGTTGATTATATTCGTGTCTGGAAACATGCTTGCACCTCTCCTAAAGCTTTCGTCCTCAGAACCGATTTACAGATTTATAATTCGCCCTGTACCAAAAAACAAAAACTACCACATACTCCTGTAATTTTATGGATAGAAAAGAATTAGCAAAATTCCATTAAAATGGCAGACAAAACTTTCGTTCTAAATCTGTTCTCAAGATTAACCTTGCACTTCGAAGGTTGCTTGCCGTTCTGTGAGCAGCACGTATCAAAAGCGCCACTTACGGCACGGATGAAAACTGCACTGATGTATCTTGACGTTTCAACATAGCAACTGGATTGGTGAAGAATTAAAGAGGCATTACGTAATTTTTTGGCACCAAAATTTGAAATATTTTATTTAAGAAATATTCGTGTAATGGTAATTTACTCTCAGTTTTTAACATATTTGTGCAATAATCTGACATTTTTGGTTGGCCCTAAAACAGTCCACGCAAGATGCAGTCAGTTTGTGGTGTCACCACAAACTACAACATGTATTGCAAAGTAAAGCTGTTCCAGCAGATGATGGCAAGGCTATTAGACTATTAAGTAGTAAGTATTTTCATTGACCAAGGAATACATAGTGCATAGTATGTTGGTTAGACTTAGAGCTCTATATTGACACATTGTTTTGCTATTACCAATTATTCAATAGTCCATTTTTCTCAATGTGCACCTGAACTTGTGTTGGAATGTTGAAATAAAATCTTTTGCTGCATGTATATGACGTTATGTGTCTTGTACACGTATTTTCATTTATTTTTACACTTCAAATTTGAGAAGGTTGCCTTCTTGCAAATAATGAAAAAAACTTGAATCAAATACCTCAGAACTAAAGACAGATGAAAAATTAAACCAAACATTGAAAAGCTCCTAAAACTACTGTTCATCAGTCTATAGTAGTACATGTGATCATTGCACCATAGTAGTTTATAAGTCACAGGTACTTTAAACATTTTTCAGACATTTTGTCTTACTTGCCTTGTGCCCTCTTCCTAGTGCTGTAGCAAAAGATAAAGGGCTGACCTAGGCTCTATCCAAGCAATCTTTCATCTTGTACATACATTGTAATAAAAATAATTTTAAAGGGGGCCTGCATTGGGGGGGGGGGTCCCGCCAACGCTCAACGCTAAATTTTCAGAGCTAGCTACATACATGTATTACGTCGAATTCAGGAAACCTCTGGATTACACTTTACGATAAATTCAAAGTGGCTACAATGCGTCTGAGTTCTCAAGCGACAAAGTCAGCGATGGCCCTCCCTATCTCCCGGGGGGACTCTTCCTGCAGGAAGTGGTGTCCCTTGACAGTCACACTCCTGACGTTCGGTAGCGTCTCTGCCACCATCTTTACCCCGCCGCTAAACCAGCCGGGGACGGCGTGAACGTACAGCTTCGGGATCGTGGTCTCCTGCAGCCACTTTGCGTAGGCCTCCACGATCTGGATCACGTCTTCGGGACCGTCCCCGACGATGGGGACCTCTCGCGGGAACGTCAGCGTGGGACGCCGGGACTCGCCGGGCTCCAGGAAGGGCGCGCGGTAGGCGTTTAGCTCGTCTTCAGGCACCTTGTCCAGGAGATAGGAGAGTAACATACGCTCCACGAAGAAGTTATTCTTCAGGACCATCTCTTCTCCAGCAGGGCTTCGCAGAGCCTGGGGTGAGTGAGAATACAGGGTACGTGAAAAAGGAGAACATTTATTCTACATGGAAATAACCCAGCCAATACAAGGTAGTCATGCTGATGTCTGAAGTATGTATGAAGTCACTTGGGTCATTCCTACCAAGTTAGCAAACTGTACCAAAATCTCTTTGTTTCCTTGTCCATGATATAATCTTAAGTTGATAATCTTCCACTAAACTGTCAGTTATTGTTTAGCAATCAAAATTGGATGAGTGCTTGGAATACGATGCACAATATAAAAGTACCGATATGACAACACTAACAAAACATAAAAAGATTTGATCTGTGTCTATGAACAACCCGTCAAATGTTTGATAACTTAGCGGCTTAGCTTCTAGTGGAATGAGGGTGTAAATGCGTTACCTGGAAAGCCCTCTTGCCAGCCTTGGGAAAGTAGTCCCAGCCTGGTACAGGCATCACCATAGCCTCCATGAAGACAATGCCCCGGACTCTTTCAGGGTGCTGATGACACCAGTGGAAACCCAGGCCTGAACCCCAGTCATGGATCACAAGGAACACTTTAGAGGGCAGTTTTATCTGCAATGGTGGAAAATTGGCAAGGGTATAGTCTAGACGGACCTTTTCTTCCAATTTTTCAAATTCCTGTTGACAAACATTGTACTCATAGGAAATTCAAACTCTACTACTGGATAAATTACGGAGATGATATCCGGACGTCCGGATATTATCTCCGTAATTTATCCAGTAAAAATTAGTAGCAGAGTTTGAATTTTCTATCAGTATTGTTTACCTCAATGTCTAACCTTCATCATTGACATACATTGTAGTTCTGTATAATCTTTGACATCTAAACTTGAGAATCAAAAATTTGCTTTCCTAAGAGTAATACTACCAAACAGTCTACTGACAGAGACACTTATTTACGACTTGTAATAAGAAATTCATATTGTCATTGATGACAGTATCAAGTTTGCACAGAAAAGAAAGGTTTGTAAATAAGTGGGGCAGAGAGAAAGTCAGCTGACAGTGATGACAGTCATTTGAACCAACCAATCTAGAACTAGAAGATGCATGCTTTGACTGTAACTGATTTTTAATGGGGGGGGGGAGGGTACAAATCAGTAAATACTTTTGCCTAAACCAAACTGAATGAAGCCTATCATGATCAATAGCTTCCATGTCACTTTATTGAGCTTGCCCAAAATTTCAACCCACATACAATGCACACATGTACAAGGTATTGTTTGGAAAGCTGGACAATACAGTCACTCAAATTTCTAACTGCAAATATTTTTTCACAGGTAATAAGCACCACATAATGGTACAACTTATAGTATCAATATTTGATTGTCCATGATTTAGAACTATACAATCTTTTGTTGACAAACCAAGGTAATGCCATTTCTAGAGGATTTATATTTTTGACCAAAGTATTTACAGAGGACTTGCAGGCCTCCATTGTTCAAAGGCACTTTATATACATGTGCATATTAAGGAAAGACAATTGATCTTAAGTACATTAACTATATCTGTATCAATAGTTGACATATGTTTGTCAAAAAATACACAACTCTCATCATATTTACAAAAGAAAACAGTTACTCAAGCAACTGGATAGATTTTGAAAACTGTAAAGTAGCACCCACAACCGTTTCCAAAATCATATCCAGTTTCTTGAGTTACTGTTTTTTGGCGTATCTTATTAACTGGATGTCTAACCTTCACCAATGTAGCATCCACTACTTTTCATCAGTGACTCATGAGTGGCAAAAACTCATCTATTTTTTTCCACACTTGCAAAGGTGAACTAAGCCCAACAGAGTCTAAACACACCCCTTAACTGATCACAGCCAATCTTTACATGTCCTTCACAAACTCTGCAATGGCTTCTCCAATCTCCTGAGGAGAGTCCTCCTGTATGAAGTGTAGCCCCTTCACAGTCACAGTCTTCACGTTAGGCCACTCTTCTGAAACTTTCTTATTCGCAGAACTGAAGAAGCCGGGTTTGGCGTGAACGTACAGCTTCGGAATGTCGTCCGTGGCTTTTAACCACTCGCGGTACCCCTGCACGATTTCCACCACGTCCTGGGGTCCATCGGAAACCACCGGTATCTCCCGCGGCCAGGTGAGGGTAGGGCGTCGCGACTCGCCCGGCTCGAGAAACGGTTCCCGGTACGCGGCCATCTCGTCTTCGCTCAGCTCGCGCACGACCGCCATCGGGAGAAGGCGCTCGACGAAGAAGTTCTTCTTCAGGACCATCTCCTCTCCTCCCTCTGATCTCATCGCCTGAAGGTAGATTCAAGAATTTACAAACAAAAACATAACAGAAAGAAATGAAGGAATTTAGAATATCTATAGTAACTTTAATACATATGATTAACTCTAATAGAATAATATAGTAGTGTCAAAGCCCGGATATGTATGTATGTATGTATGTATGTACAAAATGTATGTATGTGGTGTCCATCTAAGTTTTTTCTGGCTTCTTTATGTTTTGTTATACTAGCACAATGATATGGATCTAATTCAGGAAGACACAAACCTATGTTGGAGTGCAGTAAGTTATTTGCTTGTTACAGACATTCAAGTTTTCTGTCAATTGCTACAAATCACTTCAAACAAAGATGAACTCGTGAATGTCTATTTACTAGACATGTTAGCAATGGTTTGACAATGTAAGGGAGGACTTCCACCACTTAAACCTACATAACGTCAGCCCACAGGATAGAGGCAAGTCAGTAGGCTGCCAACAAGTTTCAGTATTGCTGTGCAAGCACGTCTTACCCTCGGAGGTCAGGAAACAACAGGCGATAAACTGGATAATGAGTGAGTAAGTGAGTTTATCCTACCTGAAACACCTTCCTGGATATGTCAGGGAAATGCTCCCATTTCTTGACAGGAGCCACCAAAGCCTCCATGTAGGCGATGCCGCGGACCCTGGCAGGGTTCTGATGGCTCCAGTGGAAACCCAGACCTGAACCCCAGTCATGCAGCACTAGGGACAGCTGGCTGGGGACTTTGACCTGCATGGGGTCAATAGCATAAAGGGGCAGGGACATGGGGTCAATGAACTAAAGGGCATGTCAGGGACTGGGGTCAATGACACCGAGGGCATGCCAGATGTGGGGTCAGTGGCCTAAAGGGCATTGTTGTTTTTTTGGGGGGGAGGGTTAGTTAAAGAAAAAGCACAAACTGTAAATTCTTGCTTTTTCTCACCACCGAAATCAGAAAGGCACAGATTACATTTCTTATCATTTTAAAGAAAAGGAGACATTTAGATGACACAAAATCCTTCATAGGAAGGGAAAACAGGTGGACAGATCTAGATAAAAGGGAGACTTCACATTGAATTAAATGGTTAGTAATGCAAGTTATGCATCATGAGCAGAGAGAATAGTGTGTGATGAGGTTTATGCAAGACAAAACAACAGCAAAGATTTGAAAGAAAGGTACCACTCAATGCAGTGTCACCAAAAATGTACACATGACACTTTGCTTAAGTCTACCTTGTCTAGGAAGGCGCTCAGGTAGCGGTAGTGGTGGTTTCACTGATGAAAGGTAGTGGATGCTACCTGAAACATTTCCAAAATCATATCCAGTTGCTTGAGTAACTGATTTTTAGTGTAAATTTGACAGCCTACCTTGTCTAAGAAGGCGCTCAGGTAGCGGTAGTGGTCCACGAATCTGTAGGATCCCGACGGGTTCTTGCCGGAGCGGCCCATACCGATGAGGTCGGGGGCGATACAGCGGGCGTGCGGCTGGACCAGCGGGATGATGTTCCTCCACAGGAAGGAGGAGGTGGGGTTGCCGTGCAGGAAGATGACTGTTGTCTTGTCGGCACCTGCAGATGGGTAAAGGTAAGGTTGTCAGTAGCCTCCTTGAAAGGCATTCCGGCATTGGTTCCTTCTTGGGGGGCAGGGGGCTTATTTGCATTTTCTTATCAAACATAGATCGCACGCGTGAGAAACATTACATACAGTATGGCCTTTTCTGCATTTCTACAAGTTGGTCGAATGTCATACAACATGATACAATGAGGACGAAGGCATATTTGTGTTTGAAGCTTACACACTGCTGGTATCCAACATAATTTTTGACACATTCTGGCAGGAATTCGATCCAATTTTCGCATAACGTCAGTGGACATGGTGGAAGACATGGCAAGCCATTACATGGCAAGTCTAACCTTCACCGACATACATGGCCTTGCATACCTTGCACAGTAAGATATCATAAAGGATATTTAGGTGACCTTTGATTTTGAGGATAATTTAATTTTAAAGGTTTATTTAACGTTACTTCTCATTATCATATTTTATGATATACTTTTAGAATACTAGTAACACGATATGTTAAACACAGCCCACCTGGATCAGAGTCGAAGTAGCTCATCTCTGAGTCCAGGACGGGGATCCTGGAGTGTTTGGCCCACCAGGCGTCTCCTGCAGCCGAACTTGAACTCGAACTTCTCTTGCTGGCCGCAGTCGTGCAAAGCGCCGGGCTTGGACGGGCTGCTTGCCGCTGCAGGTGCCCAAACATCACACTAACTCGTGCCGTAACTCCTGCCATGTCGTCTGCAGCGTTATCTCTTCTCAAAAACGAAAACCGCGAGCTCGAAAACGAAGGGGGCGGTTGCTGCTTTCCACTCTTGCTTCCTACACTTTCCGCGCCAATCCACCTTTGACCCCTACTTTTAGGTCAATGACCGCTCAGTCAACCACTTCTCGCGAGACCTTCTTCCGGCGAGAACGAACGAGATTCCCCCTTTCCGCCATCTTGCTGCACGAAAGGTAACTTGTCGAAAATTTTACCTCGAGAAAATTTCGAGAATACGTCGTCGATTTTAAATAGAAGTCTTGAGTAATCCATCATTACGAAGCTTTAGGTGTTAGGGAACGTTTATTAAGGGTAATATACTGTACAATTTGTCAGATTCAAACAAAAAATGTCCGTGAAAATGTCGATGCATGTGCAGGACTACGTTTTCAACATGCCGCATGCACATGTGTAGGTGTGGGGAGGGGGGCACCACATGCCTATCTACGATTTCATCACATTAAATATGTCCTAGAAGACGATCTATCAAACTTTTCGTTTTTAAGATATGAAATTTCAGCAAAACTAGGAAAACCACGCCCTCCTTTCTCATCACTCGGTTCCAGCACAGAAATTATGGCTTCAGCACTGGATGCTGCATGCTGAGACAAATCATGGTCCCCTAGAATCTTTTAGACAAATTCAGCACTGAAAAAACAGTGCTTGGCTATCTTCGGCACTGGACGTCCAGTGCCGATGCTGCCTTGGCCACTGAATGAGCACTAGATCACCAGTGCGGAAGGCGTGGCTTTCGTGACTTGCGAAATTTCACATTTCTACGACTTTATTTTATCATTCAGCAAGGAAAAATATGCAGATCTTCGTGAAGACCCTGACGGGCAAGACCATCACCCTCGAGGTGGAGCCTTCAGACACCATCGAGAATGTGAAGGCCAAGATCCAAGACAAGGAGGGCATCCCACCAGACCAGCAGCGCCTGATCTTCGCCGGCAAGCAGCTGGAAGATGGCCGCACCCTGTCCGACTACAACATCCAGAAGGGTAAGTTGCTAGCATCCGAAAAAGTGACCAAAAAGATGTTGAAAGAAAAAAAAAATGTTGTTTCCTGTTTGCCGACAGACCCTAGCCTTTTTTTGTGTACACCACTGCAAGGGACATACCGGGTACATTTTTCGAATCTGATTGACCTTTTCTAGCTCCATGATCTGACACCTGAGTGATAAAACGTTGTACAATCAGTTTTCCAACACTGACATTGAAACTATAAGTCCTCATGCAAGCTTTAGTTTGTTGAACTTTAAAATTTTGTTGGATCACTAGAGATCACCAAAGTCTAAAAAAAAAAAAAGAGAAAAAAAAGATACCTACCGAACCTAATTTTTGCAGAACTGAAACAGGAAACATTTCTTTCCTAGGCCTAAGGACTACCATACATGACATATATATAAATGATTTTCCGAAGTTTATCAAGTTCCTGCTAAGACTATAATCAATATTTACAAGACTAATAAACCCCGTACCTCCACCCCATACAGAGTCCACCCTCCACCTGGTGCTGCGTCTGCGCGGTGGCATCATCGAGCCCAGTCTGCGGATGTTGGCACAGAAGTACAACTGTGACAAGATGATCTGTCGCAAGTAAGTCTTTTCTGGATTTTCATTCTTGTCTCAATCTTCCAAAGAGTGGATCCATCACTCAACAGAGACGGTGGACGTTATATAAACTCCCTGGCACATTTGATCAATTGCTGATGTCACGTATCCGTAAAGTCTTTTGTGAATAAGGTCACATGTCTGTAACCGTAACTCACAAATTTACATTCAGAAGTGATTGGTCATTAGTTATCCTGATAATCGTTGAAAATTTGATCTCTGTGTAACCCTTGTGTTTGAATAAAGTTCATCGTTTTACTATGATTACTACCAACACAGATAAACTTTCATGATAATCCAAGGAGTAACTTCAGTTTCAATGACAAGAAAGTTTTCTGTGTGATTTCTTACATTTTACAGCTACACACAGCTGATGTTGCCATCTTGTTCCTTCCTCCCAGGTGCTACGCCCGTCTGCACCCTCGTGCCACCAACTGCCGTAAGAAGAAGTGTGGCCACACCAACAACCTGCGCCCCAAGAAGAAGCTGAAGTAGACCATACGTACAATATACATGCTTCTCCAGCTCTGAGAAATCTTAATAAAGACATGTAGAGATGGGCCTGTGTATTCAGTGTATGAACTTTTTTTGCCTACAAGTCACATACGTGTAGATGTAAAACACAGTTTTTTTATGATGGGCTGGTTATGAAATGAAATACCTTTATTGTACATTCATGCCACGACGGGCTAGGTACAGGTCATATGTAATGAACTGGTGCAGTGGCCAAGTGGGTAGAGTGCTCACCTTGCATTCGGTAGGTCGTGAGTTCGCTCCTCGGCCGAGTCATACCAAAGACATTAAAAATGGTACATACCGCTTTCTCTGCTTAGCACTCAGCATTTGAGAAGAGTATGGGAGTTAAACACACCACTGCCAGTGGACTAGCCTCCTGCTGTAGTGATTCCAAAACGGTGTGGCCCAAGGGCTAGCCTATAGAAATGGAGATGGGCATCGCCATAAGCAACCATGCAATTGGTTGCAGGGAGGACTTTTACTAATTACTAGTAACTGGTTGTATGAACTTGTATCACTTAAAGGAGAAATTTAAACTCTATGTAACGTTATCTATCTCATTGAGGAAACCCAGTCCAATGAAATTGATTGGCAAAGTCATCTAGTACAAATGTATAAAGGATTTTCCAGTATTTGTTGCATGCACATTTAACTTTAAGCATTGTCAACTTAGTTGCAAATGTCATCCTATCAGTCTTTTGTCCTTGGTTTGAACTATATCTGGTAACAAACTTTCCTATTAGTAAAATTTGGTGTCCCTAAACAAACAAATGCAACAACGTCCAAATCCGGTATTTCGAATTTTCGAAAGTGGCTCAGGAGAAACGTGTTCGAGTATTCTATGGAACATTTTGGAACCCGTGTGATAACCAAATAGAAGCCCGGGCTGTACCGCTAGTTATCACACGGGGTGGAACACCCGTATCGAACGTTATCGCGGTCCAGGTATGACATTAATATATGTATCACCCAATATAGGGATGTCTGTTCGCAGATCTGTCATGCTCAATGTCAGGTGCACGTGGCCAGAACCATGCCAGAACGCTAGGTAGTAGCCTGACTGAACCTCGATGTAGGGAGCCCCCCGGAGCTTGGGTTTCACAGGCTAGCTCGGTAGTATTTCCTAGTTCAATCCTTCTTCCTAGCTGTCGATGTTAGCGGAATACTCTGACCTGGTCTAACTTGAAATGTGACTTCAGAATACTCGATCGAGTGCCCATACTAATCTCTTGGATGGCGTATTGGACCCTCTCTGGCCAATGGATACTGGTACTGGCTTTTGCCACCCTAGGATCTGCTTGGAGATTACGCCCATGCCTGTATGCTGTATGGCCGCCTGAAATTCAATTGGAGGCACTATATACTAATTGTCTGCGATTCGCACTAAAGCGTATTCAAAGCATGTGCGCTTTAAAAACGTGTCACGAATCGGACGTGTTCAGCCGATAACAGGGGGCACAAATGTCGAGCCGAACACGCGATAACACCTTAAGAAAGAGAAAGCACCTGCAGGTGGCACGCACGCCGAGTCGATACTACTTCACTTTCAATGACTTATTGAAGGAAATCGTATAGTGCAAACAACGAGCTTCAACAAGATATAACAATTATTTACCACCGTGTCCAAAATGCTCCCCTTCTTCCCCACCATTCCCTACCACAAACAAATTTACTACTAAAATCAAAGAACCCACATATTATAGAAGAAGTGGGTAAATTCGTCTTCCATTGCCTAAAAAGAAGTCAAACCCAGTAAAACTAGTACCATGTATGTTGTAGAATATAGTATAATGTTAGACGTAGATATAGTCTCACATACCACTGTATTTTCTTCCTATGTTGTTTGTAACTGCAATTAGCCCTCGGGCATGTATTTGCAATAAACTTTCTATTTATAACATCCTTGGTGCAAACAAATGATCATCTACGATCGACAGTCCTGTTTGTTGCAGTTTTTCTTTTCACACAAGCTGCGACACAGAAATACCGTACGCTCGGCCATTCAAACAGTGATATGTTCTGTGTCTGTATTACTTATTCTGTATATCCGCCTTTACAAGCGTAGGCACCAATGCCAATGTCACGGTCTACACGCTATTGTGTGTGTGTGTGTTATTTTATTTTAAATAAGGCATGAGAGGGCATCCATGTTTTCACCATACATAAATTCGTGGCATTTGAATTTTAAGAATGGCTTACTCTTGGGATGTAATTATCTGCCGGTGTACGAAGTGACGTCGTAGACCCAGCTTTTCCCATATTATTTTGAACGTGCTGTGATTGATAACCCCCTCTGGTACTCCTGCTGTAGTTCCTGACTGTCTGTATGATATACGTGAATACCCAACCGGAGCCTCGCTAGCTAGCTCACTGCACAGGCGGCATCAGAAGTATCTGGTGTCGCGGCCACTGCTAAAATAACCCGGAACCGGCCGGGGCTTTAATATACAGTGGCGTTTGCTGACAAAGCATCGCCGGGACTGTTGTAGTGCCCATCGATCCGTCACTAACCGTAGTGAACCCGAGCTAGCGCAGCAGCCATGTTGGAGTTTCTGCTGAGCAGGATCGACGTCCCTTACCGTTACGCCACGGTGAGCAGTTTTCTGGCGTGTCTGGCGATCCAGGAGGCGCTCAGCCCATGGATGTCCCGGGCGATGACGTCGTCGTACGCACAGCTGTCGCCTGTACAGCAGGTGGAGTGGGATAACAGGTAAGCACAGAACGGCTGGTCTCTCCCTTATTGTGGGCACGACCTTACAAAGGTTCAGCATTCCCATCCATACCGTATCTTAAAAAAAAAATCCCAGGACATTAAAACAAGAATCATACAACTGCCTAACCTCAGAATATTTAATTATTCTGTATTATGCTCCAAAGCGAATCTGGCTACACATGTTGGCCCCTTATTGTGGGTAAGCACGACCTCACAAAGGTTCAGCACTGATCCATACTCCATTCTCCATTCCAAAAGAAACATAACTGCCTAACCTCAGAATACTTAGTATTTGTGCTATATTATGCCCTGACTGAGCGAATAGTTAATCTGTTTGGCTACACATGCTGGTCCCTATAATATTGTGGGTAAGCACGACCTCGCAAAGGTTCAGCACTGATGTTCAACCTCCATACTCCCTTCCCATCTACCTGGACATTTTAAAAAGAAACATAACTGCATAACCTCAGAATATTTGTGCTATAGTATGCCCTGAGCGATCGAACAGTTAATCTGTTTGGCTACACATGCTGGTCCCTTTAATATTGTGGAAAAGCACAACCACACAAAGGTTCAGCACTGATGTTAAACATTCGCCATACTGTATCTTTCCCAGGACATTTTAAAAAGAACCATAACTGCATAATATGCAGTGCATATATAACCTCAGAATTTCCGTGCTGTATTATGCTCCCGAGCATATATGGGATAACAGGTAAGCACAGCAAGGCTAGATATTCCCTTATTCTGGGCACGACCTCAAAAAGGTTCATCACTGATGTTCAACATTCGCTATTCCCATCCATACTGTATCTCTCCCATAACATTAAATAAAAATCATAACTGTAGAACCTCAGAATAGTTATGCTATATTATGCCCCCGAGCATGTATGGTAGACGAACCGTTAATCTGTTTGGCTACACATGAATGAACGTGTACAAGGAAAACAAATGATACCCATTACAAATACAAATGTTTTCCAATGACCGCCATTCATGACAAAAGCGACAGAAATTGCTGCGTTTTCGTGACACCAATGCATAGCCATTAAACGCACTGCAATAATTTGAAAGCGAACTGTACAGTCTTGGGTGGCGAGGCTCGTAGAATACATAATAACGATACATTTTGGCAACAGACGTATTGTCACGGTTCGGGCCCATTGATTACACAATGGGACGTATTGTTGTTGCGTTTAGGAGGAAAGACCTTGAACACGAGCATGTTGCATATCCGCTCCATTCGGTATAACCGCAGTAGTCATGTGTTATCACACAGCATTCTGTACCACAACCTAACGCGGCCCCATGTCTGGGTGCATGCGACGGGTGAATATATTAGAAATCGTTGCATCTGGAATGACTCTATTCAATTTGGACAATTATTACATTAGATACATAATTGTCTATAAAACCCCGTAGAGAATTGATCGGAATATACATAAAACAAATACTATCACCATATGCTTTATTTCGTGGGTAAATCCTATTCTATACTAGATTCGTATGCATTGCTTCGTTTGAATTTTAAATACAACAGTGCGTTTAGGAGACAATTACCGTTGACATCTCTACTAACAGATTTGCTACATGTGCTTACATGCGTGATATATTTTTCCGATAATGTCTTTTGTCTCGGGGGGGGGTGAAGTAGTAGACATTCTATAAATACGTCGGCGCCTGGGGGTGTGTGAGTGGGGCTGTTATTACTTTGTTGTTGATGCAAGTACAATGCATAGCGGTTATGTAACGGCAATGTAGACGTTAATTTCAAAGGACAACTTCAAGCAGTTTAGCTGCAGGATGTCTAAGTTCAAGAATAGTGTCTTACCTTTTATTGTTGAGCTGCTGAACCATTCTTGGTTAATTTTAATGTGTATCATACCCCAATTTAGCTATGTAAGGCTGCAATGGTATGTGTGTTGTATATAATAAATAAATTGTATATAATAAATAAAACAGTTCATTCATTAATTATGACGTACAGAATACAGACATCGTTTACAATACAATACACCACACGTACGCAGTGAAACTACGAAACGATCCAATGCATTAACAACGTAACGTTCACACCATCTCGTCCCAATAGGGTAGACTTCCAGAATTATTTGATTCCACAGTCGCCAGTATCAATACCGGTAATGGACTTGACGGGTTTTTTTGTGTATGTTCATGTTGTTAAGGGGACCGACCCAGGCGATTTTATGCAGCCATTCGTCAGCTGCTGTCATTCTAAATTTGGCAGAACTCGTCTGCCCGTATCTTTCCGTTTCGCCACGTGAGGCACACGCGAGCGAGTACTTAAGCCGGCAGAGATGTGCCTAGTCTGATAACGGCTTTCTCATCTCCGAGCAGATGTATTGGTGGCGACTGTTTTGTGGGTCTATTGTGGCCTTTTCTGTACATTTATAATCTACGTCTATATCTAGTGGTATTTTTTTTTATTTATTCAGAAACACGATGATTGCAAATGAAAAGACATGGACTAAGTGACTGCGAACTCAAGTTAGGTACAACTTATATTCTCGCAGCCACTTTTACAATGAAAGAAAAATATTTTACAAGACATTTAAAAAATACATGAAACCTCGCGTGAGTAACAAACCTCCCATCCCAGAAGACACATACAGTTAGAATCTTTTTGTTTCTAATATATAATTTTGTGCGGCTAACATTATTTTGCAGTTGGTATCATACGAACAAAGGAAACTACCGCGAAGAACTAAATATTGTATATAATTATCAGAAAGGGTGTTTAAATCACGTCTCAAACAGAAAAGGTCACGAGAGACGAAAACAAAGCCTTCATTATACCTGTTGGCGACAAACGCAGAAAAAACGACCCCTCCCCCTTTTCTGCGTGCGTCACGGTGACCTATATTCATTTGTGCAAATTTTCAGTTTTATTGATTTCTAGCATACATTACTTTCATGTCTCACATACTTTTATAAAATAGGTAATATATAGTACACTGTATATATCTTATTTGCATTTCGAACGTTTCTTAGTGTAACATATATAATTTCGAAAACTTTCGACATCAAGTTATTGAAAACTCGTTCTTGAATTTGATCTTCACTACCTTTCATAAAGTTTTAAAAAATGTGAATCAAGAAAATTAGTGTGTCAGGAAAAACTTTAACGTCATTATGGAGAATATGTAAGCGTATTGTGTCACGGAAATGAGAAAACTGCAGTGCAGTGCGGTGTACCTTGAATGACACCAGCCTGTAGGCGAGCACATACTCGTACCGGCACAGTTGTGATTAGTCTGGTGGAGACTACACCATGAATACTAACATCCAACTGGACATATTCAAGACTGGACGCGATTCATCTATTCGTGCGATTCATCTATTCGTACACACACACACACACACACACACACACACACACACACACACACACACACACACACACATCAACTATTGGGTGGGGGGGGGGTGTTAGGCGCCAAACTAATCCGTCCAAATACCCAGGTCACTATAATGTCATGGTACGTTATTGTGGAAAATCAAAATTTAGTCAAACCTCTGCTTGGAGAGTACCGCATGCAGAGGTATTTGATGATAGGTCGTTACGGGTATCGGTTGTATTTTTGTCAAACATATAGCTACAGGCACTAAAACCGACGTCACAGGAAACCCCAGGCATCGCCCATGATACCGGCACGGTATGTCAATAATGGCTGCCGTACAGGAGACCGATATTTCGGGTCAATGCCACAACAGCTAGGGCTATCATAATTCCCCCCAGTGTAGCCTCCGTAGCAGGCTTACAGAACTGGGGGTTTGGTGGTCTTCGGCTGTTTTCTGATCAGCCCAGTTCCAAAAAACGGAGGTAATTCAACCAGGCCGGCTATGTTGTCTATATGCAATCAGAAAATAGCACATAAAAACTCCCAAAGACCAAGAAGACCCCCCAAACCCCCAGTTTTTGGCGTGTTATGGAGGCTACCCCCAGTGTACATTTGGGATTGAGCTCACTCACATGCGCTATGAACATGCGACACGCGCTGACATCGATAACCGTTCAAGGTCGGGCGATATCATTTCACAGTCCAGTAATGCCCCTCCGGGCTGCGGTTTAACCTTTAGTACTGAAGTATACTCTCCAAGCAGAGGTTTGAGTTTTTTATCGGGCTTTCTTTTTCGCACCCTTTAGGTTGGCGTAAGAAAAAGATACCAGTGCAAAAGCCCACTGCTGTAGTGCTTTCACAATTGTGTGGCTCAAGGGCTACAGAAATGGAGATGGGCGCCATCCCTAAGCTCTGCACAGAGTGGAACGGGACCTTTAGTGCAAAAGCCCAATAAAAAAGCCTAAAAACACGCTAAAAATAAGCCAAAACTGAAGTATCCGTTTGGGTACCAACTCTCATATTCGTTACGCCATTGGGTAGCAAGGACTATGCCAGACCTTGCGCACATTATTGGAGACCCTCCTGCATTATTGAGAGGGTGATTTCGGTAAGGGGTAGAGTAATAACATTGATGTGATTAGCTTCGACGCTACATAAATTGTATCCAGCCAAGTTATTTCAGCTGGTTGGCTTTCTATGGAGGTATGAATGTGACGTCTTTCACCGTGTATTATTCTGTGTCAACCCTAAAATGTTTTATCATGGCGACATGCTAACCCTGTATAAATAAATAAAAATGAATGAATGAATGAATCATTCATTAAGACAGACATTTGTTTGTATCAACTTTATTCGCATTGGTTACAGACAATTCTTAGACTCCACTATTTGTTTTCTTATCACTATTATTAGCGTTGTTATTGTCACTATTATCATTTGTTCACTTATATTTTATGTGTCCGTGGGCATGTTTTTATTTGTTTGTCATTGGTTATGATTGTTTCTTGTTTTATCTGTGTATGTTTGCATAAGTCTTTGATGTTGCTTTAATTGTACTTTTTATTTTATTATGTTTTTAATTTGGACAGGGGGCTAAGACAAAGGCTAGACCTGTTCCCCCTGTCCAATTACATACTTTGTAATGTAATGAAGCTAAAATAAATAAATAAATAAAATCTGTAAGAATCAGAATGTAAGATTTCCTTCTGCTCGGTAATAAACAAAAACTGAAATTTCAAATTTTCCACATGTTTCATTTCTGGGCTGCAGACACTTGTAGTGTCCTTTGTACACATGTAAGTGATGACAATATCGTGAAATAAGTGAAAAGCACTCTTCGTGCCATTTATTAACAATTCATCGAGAGGAGTTGAATTACACGTTATGATATTGTAGAGCGCATTTGCTCGGAGCGTGTACTACTAATAAAAACACCTTTACCACCTTACCAATAGCGGATTTAACATATGTTGCATTCTATTTCATTCATTTATTTTGTTTTGTTATTTTTTTTATTCATAAATACACAACAAAACTGTAACAAGGACAGTGTGGCGCAGCACTCAAGTTTATTACTTATTATAACAGCGCCACACAACAAAATACTAGCAATTAACGTATAAATACACTGAGATATTATGCTGCTAAAGATGTTTCAGCCAAAATGTATATGTAATATGGGGCTCATACTATGTAGTCATAGGCCCAATGGGTGATAGACAGACTGGTCCGATACTCGCGTGTAATATTGATATACAACACAGTACGGCAATTTGATACTCATCTTACGATCACGTCTGCCACTGCCTGTCATGGGGCGGGGGGCAGGGGGTTTATGACGGCAGCTGTTTGACACAGTCAGCTATCATTGTAAACCCTGAGGGGATGAGGTCACAGACATTTCCGCAGTTCGTTATATTATATTGTTAGTGGGGAGGGGTCAATTCTTTGAAATTGCCCTCGCCGCTGGATATTGAGACCATGTATATAATACTAGAAAAGTAAGATTTGCAAAGCAACTGCATAATGTTTACTTTCGCATATGGTCTGCTCTGTTACTCAAACACATTCATATATATGGTGACAGGAGTCTAAATCACTCCTACTATGAAATTGCAACATTATGTAACCCAACACCAGTTACTATGGTGACAGACGTCAACAAATTAGGTCATTGGCCAGGTCAGAGGTCACTGGAGAAGAAGAGGAAGAAACTGAGCAAAAACATGTTTTCCTTGGTAAACATAATAACTGATATTTTCATTTTGTACCTTCAGGATTATGTCCATCGCGCATGCGCTGACGGCGTCGTTCCTATCCCTCCTGGCGTTTTTCAGTGACGAAGGTTTGACCCCGGACGCTGTCAGGTCAGTAGTCTGCCGCATCACGGCACTGATTCCTATATCAATGTGCTGTCGCCATCTATATCACATGTCTGTGGCATTCTGTCCTGTATAACATTAGACCTAGCCTGTTTATTTATTTATTCGTGACACCAAAAAGCAAACCCAACAGTAGGGATAAAGAGTTTGCGTACAAATTACAACTGACAAGACAATCGATATATACACCCCTTATATAGTACATTATAGTACAATTATTTCATACTCGTACCAAGCAAATCTTCTGACTTTTGTATGGATAGGGTTTAGGATAGATAGACTTAAGACACTGTTATAGGCAAATTCAGCTGTCGTTGTGTTTATTTCCTGGTAAGATATAATTTAACAAGATTTTGCGAATTCAAGTCGAGTTGTATAATTCGTTCTGTCGTTATAAAGGAAGAAAGGGGGTCGTCTTGTAAATTGAAACATTGTTCATCCACAGATATAACTCCCACCTCGTGTTGCTGGGATCCGCCATACTTCTAGGATACGCGTTGGCAGGTATGTATACAGAACTGTTGTATATATATATATATATATATATATACTGATTTTGTTCTAAGTATGTTGTGTACCCATTGTGTACCCTTTCCAAACATGTGCTTGGTGACAGCTATCACACAATACTTTTGCTATACGTAAATTACTAAAACTAAGCCGAAGTAGAGGCTCCTTCAATACAATTAACTGCAATGACAACATTGGCATTTTCCGATAAATGACTCCATGACGAAACCTTTTAGAGATAACAGTGATACATAGTGATAGTGATCTCGAACCCGTTAATAGCTCACTGAAGAGCTAATCTTCAACAGAGAAGATAGACGCTATGTACAGTATTTACAGGTTCATTGTACCGGGGAAGTTCCCCTAGCTCTTTTCGACAAGCACAATGAACAGTGGACCACGGCTTAACGTCCCGTCCCAAGGACTGCGATCCTAAACAGTAGCGTGCATGTCGACGGGTGAGCGACAACAGCCGGGATTTGAACCTCTTAGTCCAGAGGCAGGGTCGCTTACCACTGGACTACGCACGCTACTCTCAAATATAAAGCGTGGGAGATCTGGGTTTGGGGGCTAACTTGTGGTGATATTTGTTCCTACATGACAGATCTAGTCGAGACGTGCATGCGGCCACGTGCCCTGTGGACAACAGACATGGTCTTCCATCACGTGATATGCATTTGTATCCCGTGTGTCTACTTCGTAAGTATCATACAATAGGACTCCTTAGTCCGTGCCAACATTTCTTTTCTTTCTTTTCTCTTGAGTGTTAAATGTTATGTATTAATAATGTTCAATAGGTAACGTGTAGGTAGTAATATAAGTTTTATATTCAAATCCCTCCATGCTTTGTAATGTTGAATAGTACAGCAGTGATAAAGCACATGGTTGTTGCTCTTTGTCAGACAGCGTCAGAACCAACTCCTCAGATATAGAGGCCCTAAATACCGATATAACCTTAACTTAACATACTTTCCAAACTAAGTTTCTGCTGAAGTATATGAAGTTGCTTTCGTGACTTTTGCTGCAGATGTACAGATGTGCTCCCTATTACGGAAACATAGGATGGATGGCGGAGATTTCAAGCCCATTTCTACATATAAGGTACGGGTCTGGCAACCATTAAATGTTCAGCCATTGATTATTACTCTCCAAGCAAAGGTTTGGGTTTTGGCTTATTTTGGGCGTGTTTTATTTCAGGCTTTTTATCGGGGTTTCTTTCTTGCACTGGAATTTTTCCGTGTAATCATTGTGTTGGAATAAAGTTCATCATTTTACTGTATTTATATGATGTTGTAGCAAATAACGCTTTTCTAATAGACCTAATTTGCATACATTTGCATATGTAATTTGCATATCCAGACGATTGCTAATGATGACGGGGTCGAAGAAGACGTCCCAAGCCTACAAGGTCAACGGCATCCTGTTCGTTCTAACGTTCTTCGTGTTCCGTATCGCCGTGATCCCCTGGTTCTGGCACAACTGGCTGTTCCGGCTGACGGTGAACCCGGAGTACCGGCTGCCTGAGAACGCCGTGCCGCTCAACACGTCGCTGGCGGAGGGGGTCATCATGAACGTGCTCAACTCCTACTGGTTCGTCAGACTCTGCATCGTTACGTGGAGGCACATAAACCTCTCAAAAGAACACGACGATTGATCGATAAAGCCAATCATAATAATTATTACTATTTTATCAGTAGATCATGTAAAACAGATTTGAGAATTGGAGCGGGACAATGTGAATGTGGAAGGGCACTGGTGACACCTTTTACGTTGATCTGCAAGTGATGAAATTATATATGTTACATGGAGTCAAGTCATATTTCTATTATTACTTTTTTATTTTGTATCTAATAATGTTAGGCTTTTATTGGCCCTTTCTTGTCTTAAAATGATGATCTAAAGATAGGATCTATAATTTAACTTAAGTACCATCGAATGATGTTGAAATGAAATCGGGAGACAGGTTTTCGCCTCCTTAAAATCACGGTAATGATGCATAATTATTGGATGATAAATATTCTATTGAAATGTGGGAGTTGCTGTAACAGTTGTACTTCAATGTGATGTACCACATTCAGTCTGACATTTAGAACATCAAATGACGAGATGCAGTAGCCGTTGTGAGTTCAGACCCTTGCTATTTATATTAAAACATCATCTTTCTTTCTTTTGTAAAGGTAAGATAATGTATTGAGTATGTAACGACGTACAGACGCAAACAAAACCTATACATCTGCTTGAAAGTTACCGATAACTACTGTTGGCTTACCATTGATGACTTAAGGGTTTTCAATTTCCGAAAGAAGCTAGTTCGCTGTGCGAGGCATTGTGGGTAAATTCCATGTCATACCAGGGCCACAAGGTCACAGGACAGTAATGGCCACCTGTGTTCAAAATCATGTACAAATTCATGGCAAATTCAGGGTGTCATATAATCTCCAAGCAGATCATACCACCGAAGGTGGCTAATGGACACTCCTCTGGCCAATGGATACTGCCTTGCCACTGTATGATCTGCTTGGAGATTAGGCGTCATAGGCCCCATTCCCACTAGCCTAGTTAGGATAAAATTGTGCCGGATCGAAGCCGGATCAACGCGAATCAATTCGGCTCAATTTTATCCTAGTGGGAACTGTGGGGCCATAATCGCATCGGTGAACATTCCAAATCATAACAACATCCCCCCATAAAGTAGCCCGATATGTCAAATATGCCCGGAATTCAAAATATAGTCTATCTCATTTAAACATTTTCCAAGAAAAAGACTTCTATGGGTCTCAAATGAGATAGAACTCAGGGTGGGCCATTGGCCCTGTGTGTATTATCGACCTTTGCCCTTTAACCTTGACAATTACCCAGAATGCATCACACTGCAAGTGCGCACGTGAACTGGCTTATTCGTGACGTCAGTATTTCAGGCACTATAGCTACCGCCCTGGACATACTCGCTTTTTTTTTAAGAAAAGCGGAACATTGAATGTTCAATACGTCCACTGATAGTTGATTCCAATTCCTTGTGAGTTGAAATACATAAATCAAGTTATAAAGAAGTGACAGTATATGTAAGCCTATTCTTGCATTGGCAGATTTTAAATTTCAAGATATAACTTCAAGTTATAAAGAAGTGACAGTAAATGTAAGCCTATTCTTGCATTGGCAGATTTTAAATTTCTAGATATATGTGTATTTTGGGGGCATAGGAAGAAATGATATCTATGTGGTGGTCACATTAGACAACCTTTGAATAGCATTAGGACATGATGACCTAAAGTGACCTTTTCTCAACTGCTTATCCAAATTTTTGTCGATGAAAAAGGTTGTAAAATGCCTTTATAGAAATCTAGTTGGACTGGAAAAATTAATACTTGAAAATGCAAGATTGTAGCGTAGCAATCTCAACTGTCTTTTAGAACCTTGATTGTGTTTGTACTTGTATTGTCACAATATTAATATATACATTGTAATTCTCAAAGATATACAGCAGAATTGTAAACGTTATAAGAAATGTAATGTTATGACTGTGCAATATCAAGGATTCTACAAGTTTATTGCCATTTTGTTTTAAGAATTAACACAAACGATGAACACTGCATCAGTGCGATGAAGAATGCTGCTAACATTTGGTCTACTTACTGTGACGATTGGTCGGAATACCTGGAGTAAGGCCACACCAATTTAATTTGTTGGTTGTCGGATTTTTTCAGAAAAAAATATGAAAATAAAAACAGGTCTAGGCATCCTATCATAGCCCCACATGCTTCGATAGAGGGAAAAACTGCAAGAACTAGGAAGAAAATAACTTTCCTCAACTTTTGGGGGCAAAATATGAGCATTTTGAGTTGACTCAGAACCAGAATATTTTTTGCAAATCAGAGAAAAATGAAGAGGCGAATCCAAGAACCAACAAATTAAACTGGTGTGACCTTAACTTAATAATGTCAATGGCAGATTTCATATTATTGCCAATCGTGAAGAGCACTGTACTCACGATATATATTAGTAGTCAGTACAAACCTCAGAAGTGTGATAGATGTATTTTTTGCTCTCGATGTCCAAAGTATGTTTGACTCTCTGAATAGACTCGATGTCCAAACGTGTGTCTGGTCGCTGTGCTTTGTTGTTGTCTCATCAGCGTTCCAATTGATTGTACTCCCAATTACTACAGCTAGATGGCGCCTTTACAACGTTCTTGCTTCGTTGAAGTTGTGTTGACATCGCCTTGCGAAAAATTTACCGTAGACAGCATGATAGTAGACGAACAACACAATATCTCTACTTTCATACTTTTACCGTCAATGTCTCGGATAAATCTTTATTTTATGGTTACTTCTGTTTTTTTGCCGTTTTGGCTATTTTTAGAATTGTTGCAGGAAAGTATTGCACTGAACATATTAGCATTACCAGTTAATCTTGTTACCTGCGTATATTCTGCAATGATATTGCCGCCTTATTGCACTCGCCTTATTGCACTCAAATAGTCTCTCTTATTCCATTGCGAAGTATGTAATTGTGTCGGTCCCTTGAAGCCACATGACAAGCATCACTGGGTCTACTGGGTCTACAGGCTACTGAGGAAGATCAAAGTGACTGGTCGAAAGCTCTAGGTGAGAAAACTTCTTTGTGTTGGATCAAAAGTTTTAACTTTAAACATGTAACTACCAAGTGAACACATATGAACTGTCATGACAACGGTCCCTTTTCCTTCCTGGAGGTCCAATTATTCGGAGGGCCGCGATTTAATCAGTGAAAAGTACTGTACTCACGATATATAGTAGTAGTCAAATCAGAAGTGTGAAAGATGTATTTTTTTTTTGCTCTCAGTGCCCAAAGTATGTTTGCCTCTTTGAATAGAGTTGATGTCCATGGTCTGGAAACTTCTTTGCGGAACGACATAATCATATATCGCGTATCTTGTTTGTACATGTCTGAGTTCCTATGGGGATAGCGTTCTGATGTCGTCTGGGTTGTCTTCTTCTTCTTCTTCCACGCCCCGACTGAGAAGCACGATGCACAGCAAGAGGAGCCCGATCAGCGCCATCAGGGAGTATCCTACACAGATGGCGCCGAACGCGAGCAGGTACACCGTCGGGCTGCAGTACTGGCTCGGCGTCAGACGGGGGCGCTCGAAAGGCGGCATGTACACCTTGAACACCCAGTAGTTTCCCAGCAAGAACCACACGAAGAGGAAGAGTCCCACGAACGCGTCGAAGCAGCGCACGCCGGCGTTGGACTCGCGCGAGGCGAAGCTGTCGTTCATGCCGACGTAGTCGTCCGACTCGTTCTTGCGAGCCTCGTAGCTCTGCCACAGCATCATCAGGGTCTTCAGCATGCCAAAAGCGCCCCCTACCGCCAGGTACACCGGGATCTTCGGCTCGATCGGGCAGCTGTGGAGATTCTGGATACCTGGAGGCAAGTGGGAGAGACAAGTTGCTCTAGTCGCCAAGCAGATCCCTTTCGGTGGCAAGACAGTATCCATTCGCCATAGGAGTTTGCACGGCCACCGAAGGTGGCTAATGGACACTCTTCTGGCCTTACCACCGTATGATCTGCTTGGAGATTTAGTTGATCGGGGGAGACAATAAGTAGAGACGCACAGTCGCCTGTTTTGTCTACCCCCTCCATTGTGTCCTACCGCGGAAAAGCCGAATGAGGAAATGAAGAAGTGGATAGACTAACTTGGAACATTTCTAGATGTTTGTACATATACAGACGAAAAAATTAACTATTTGTGCTGTTAACGTTTGGCCATTGACCCATTAGCACCGAATAAGCCACCGACGAAGCGAGGCTAAGTCTCTAGTCATCTAAGATATCACCAAACTGCGTTCGCAACAGCAATTATATATCTATTTACCATATTGCATGATAGATGAAATGCATATAGTTTATAGTTTTTCTTACCGATGAGAAACATCGCCGTGGGAAGCGCCAGGGTGACAAACAACAACACCGTCGCTATAGCTGGAAGGTAAAATACGCGATACGTAATTCACCAAAGAAGGTATTTGATAGCCTCTACCAGGCTTCAGGAGGCGGCTGGACAGAGAAGAAATTGGTAAAATAGAGAGTATATTTTGTCAAACTGTACTCTCTAGCGGACCAACTCCCTCGGCATGTTATCTCTCTATTTGACCAATTTCTACTGTTTCCAGCCGCCTCCCGAAGCCTGGTAGATGCTAGGATTTTGACTCTGTGCCTTATGGGACTTATTATCACCAAGCACGATGGTGACATCCTCACTTAACATTTTAATACAATGGTTATTATAGTTAGATGTGCAAACGTAACTTGTGACAGGTTATACCCGGTCGCTCGGTGTTTTAGTTGAGATTGCACGACCGCTAATATAGCAGTCTGGGGGCCCGCCAACAGTCACATATTCAACCAACTCCCATCTGGAAATGTGTCTTATATGTAATAGGAAACCTTGCCAACACTGCGTGTAAGGTTTAATTGCATGGCAACCCTTTCTAAGTTCAGTTGTAAGTCCTGTGAACCAACGACATAGTTTTGTCTTTAATCTCCCTATATGTCATACATGCCCGTAGCCAGGATTTTGAATGGGGGGTTCTTCCCACCTGCTGGAGGGGACCTCGAGCGCCGTAGGCGCGAGGCGAGCGCAGAAGGCGCGAGGTTCCTAGGGGGGTCCGGGGCGAGCTCCCCCGGAAAATTTTGAAAAATGAACCTTCTTAAATGGCATTTCGTGCATTTTTGAGAGGATTTCCAAGAAAAAATTAGAGATAAATTCTTATTCAATGACAAAGGGAGCAGTTTTTCTACGATTCCAGTCCGTCTTTTCAAGAAAAATCTTGGACCTTTACATAAAAAGTGGACCAAAAAGTGGACCTTTACATAAAAGGTGGACAAAAAGTGGACCTTTACATA